ACCCACCTTCAGACAGTGAAGCGTGTCGGTTTTCGAGAACATCTTGAACTTGGCCAGCTCCCCGATGAACCTCACCGTTTTGTTCTTCGTCTCGATGTTGATCTGGTCCTTCTTCCGAATCTGGAAGCGCAAAATCATTCAGAACATTGTCATAGTGGGAAAAAGAACAGGACACGAGCACAGCTGATTGACAAATATCCCACTGAGCTGCTGGTTGTTTAATTTGTTTAATGAATCTATTTCACAGTAAAACTCAGCAACACGTCACCACAACAGAGCACCTACGTGAAACCTGAAGTCTCCCTTCAGCATGGAGCACAGGTCCTCGGCCACGTCCGACATGCAGGGATGCAGAGTCGCCACCAGGCGGGAGTAGAAGGGCAGAAGGTCCAACCTGCAGGAGGAGGAGGAGTCGTACAATCATGAGTCCCGTCTTCGTGGTGTTTGAATGTATAAAATACGCCACATGTTACTGTATGTTGTTGACAAATTGGATAAAAAGACCATAAATTGCTCGGCCTTACTCACCTCTGTCTGGGGACGGTGAAGAGAGCTCGGACAAGCTTCCTCCTGTTGGACTTGGTGTTCATGTTCATGCAGAAGTCCATGGCGGCCTGCGGGAGTCGACACAGCGCTCGTAAATTTAACAAACTTTTTCTCGTTTTGTATTAAATGTAAGAGCAGAAGGGGGCTGGAAACAGGAATCCCACAGCATCGTTCATCCTGTTTGCTCGTCGTCACCTTGTCTATGAGGTCTCTGTTGACGCAGTTGGGGAGCTGCTGGATGAAGGCGTCCACGATCAGCTTCAGGTGCGACCCGGTGTTGGCCTCCTCGTCCTCTTGTTCTACAGAAACACATTCTCATATTATTACCACGACTATTAAACCATAACTGGACAATAAAGAGTTCAGGAAACATCCTTTATGTCTCAGTTTTTATTATCATTTTGGAAGTATTACTAGAATAAGCACTTGTTTAGCACCTCAAGAAGTAATTATCTACCTATAAAGTCACACTATATTGTTATAATTCAGTTTTTTTTAATACATTTTATCCTATTATGTTCATTACGTCCTTGTTTTGTTACTGTACAGCATGCGTTTACGACGGGTTAATTATTTGTAGGGTGGTTCCATTGTCACATTAAAGCCCAGTGGTTGTTTCCTCACCTTGTTCATCCAGCAGTTTTTTGGCCAGTTCCTCATTCTCCACCTCGTCGACTCCCTCCAGTTCGAGCGGCTCGTCCGCGATGTCCAGCGCCTCCAGCTCCAGCTCCAGCTCCTCCGTGGTGCTGGCCGAGTCCTTCGCCTCTCTGCCGTCTGGACCCGACAGCAGCAGAGTCAGAAAACATGTTTTTCTTACATCTGGTAGCGGATTTATCAAACGTACCTTTGGCATCGTCCTTGTCTTTGCCCTGGCCGCTCTTCTCGTTGTCCTTGAAGAGGATGGCGGGGACGAAGGCCTTCAGGTCCACCAGGTTCTCGTAGAAGTTGCGAGCGTCCTCGTCCTCCCAGATTCCTCCCTCCAGGTCGTACTCGCCGGGCTTGCCGGGGGTGAAGATGTCGATGCCGGGGCCGTGTTCTGAGAAAACAGAAAAGTATGACAGATGGTCAACTCACTGGTGTTGCACAGCTTCCAGATACTACAAAGGTATCACAATATCCTGCAGTTAAAACTACATTAACCCTTATTTTAATCATACTGGCACTTATAAAATGACAGCATAAGTTTCCTCGTTGTGCCACAGCTGGGCAGAGTGGGTTTGCGGTGTTTGCTTCCACTTTCTACAGGAAAATTGTGTGTGCCAGTTGATTTATTCTTCTTTAATAAACAGCTTTAATGGTAGCAAAGCAGGAACCACAGCTGCAAAACACAAGAGCTCTAACAGACTGCTCACAGCTCGTCCACACAGTAGACGCACAGAGCAAAACGTGGCTTCATTTCACTGACAGCTGACAGTCAGGACGAGGCCACGGACGCCACAAAGTCTGTCTGTAAAAGAGCCGAGGGAGGTGACACGTCCAAGAAAACAAAAGCATCTTGTGTGCAACAGGTCGATATCCATGACAGATAATTTGACTACATCATGCCCTCAAAGATAAGTCAGAAGAGTGTGATTTACTCTTTTCACCGCTGGAGTTTGACGAGGTGATTAGGAAGAACTGTTTAAGCTAAGTAAAGATAAGATATATACGATAGAATTTCATTAATCCCGAGGTAAATATCAAACTTATTAATTGGAAAAAATCTCTCTATTCGCTTCTGTTTTTTCAGTGTAAATAAATTGAGGCATGCATCAAATATCAAAGTCAGAATTTTGCCATCATCTGCTGTCTTAATTTATAAAAACCAACATGCTGCATCTTCAGATTTCGGGGGTCCACCTACCCTCCTGCACCGTCTTGTCCTGAGGCAGGTCCGGCATGTTCTCGTCCAGCAGATCGGCCAGCGACTGAGTGTTGGCCAGCAGCTTCTGGTACGACGTGGCGAACTCTTCGTACTGCTTGTGCCTGTCCTCGCTCAGCTCCCCTTTGGAATGTAGGATTCGCCTGAAGAGGAGAAAACGGTCAGACGTCTTCAGAGCGAACGACAAAAATGGCCGTCGCCAGTAACGGCCAATCAACACTGACAGCTATCGTTTACGCAGAGAGACAGACGAGTGCGTTTGCAACAGAGCAGCTCCAGTGAATTAGCAGATGTTGCTGAAGTTGTAATAAACATCACAACCTTACACTGCACATGCCTGAATAATTCACTTGTGAGTGTCGCTGCAGCTGGAACTTATTTAGCCGATTGTGCTAAGCTAAGGCTATCACTGGGAGGTTTGCTGTGCCTCTTAGCTTTAGGCTAATGCTAACGCTTACGCTTTATCAGTCTGTTGTAAATTACAGACACGTCTTTTTAGCAGGGACGCAACACATAAAAACGAAACAAGAAGCACAAACATCCGCACACCAGCTACTTACACAGCGGCTAAGGCTACGCTAACGGCTAAGTTAGGAGCTTTAAGACATGGGCCTGAGTGGGCAACACAAATGACAGAACAGTGAAAGACTAACAGAACAGAGAAGACAAAAGTGCAGGAGAAAAACTAATCAATCTCGATCAATCAGTAAACAGAGGAGAGAGTCTAAATGTCACATGATGCCCTGATGTCATCATTTCTATTCCTATTGTACATATTCAGGGATAGTAATCATTATTAATGAAGTAATCTAGTTATGAATGACAGGTTTCCTGCTATCACATGCTGCTAATATATATTATGTATTTGTAGATTAGCAATCACTGGTATTGGTATCGGCCCTGGAAACAACTCACCTGTTCTGTCTCTCGATGTTCTGCAGCTCCCTGTGGTCCTTCTTCAGGTGTTTGGTGAGGGATGTGAAATACTCCCTCAGGAGGTTCTGGAAGGGCTGCTGCTTCTCGGTGCTGATTATTTCGCTGGGAGGGAAGCCGAGGCCGAACTTCTCAGCCGCCAGTTTCACCTTTCGGGGCACCAGGCCGGCGATGTCGTCCCCGCAGTGTTTGCAGAAGCTGATCACCACCGACACGTGGGTGTGCGTCTCGCGGTCGGTGCCGATGATGTTCTTCAGCTGCTCGTAAATCAGCGACAGGCCCTCTTTGTCGGTGAAGAGGCCGACGATGGTGAGCTCGGCGATGAAGCGCAGGTCGGTGCGCAGCTTGCTCACGTTGGGCGCCTTGTCCTCCTTCCTCGCCTCGAAGTGCTTCTTCCAGGCCTGCAGCAGCAGCGGCGCAAACTCGGCGTAGCGCTGGTGGAAGAGGGAGCACAGGTGGACGGCGCAGCCCACGTCGGAGATCTTCAGCTTGGCCTCCACCACGGAGCTCACGGCCTCGCCAATGTACTTGCTGAGGTTGAGGGAGGAGAAGTCGTTGGACAGCGAGTCCCGCTGCTGCTCGGTCAGCGTTCGCAGCTTCTTGACGAAGGCCGTGTTCTTTTTAAGGCTGGAGTCCAGGCGGCTGAAGAAGGCCTCCTCGGGTCGGCCCTCCTGGGCGTTCTGGTTCTTGTGGCGGAGTTCCTTCCGGCACTGGTGGCGCTCCCAGGCCTCCTGGTGCAGCTGATGACCCTCCTCCTTCTCCCTGCAGGGTTTAGTGAAGTGGCAAGAGAAAGATAAAACCATTAAAGCAGGCAACAGCAGAATAGAGAGTTTAAACTTTTTTAGCTGAGATTTTGTTAATTTTCAGAAACGGCTTAATTTCTGTCAGAAAGATGCAAATTGTTTCCCTTCCTTCCTGTTTTTTACAGTTTCTGGGTCTGAAAAAGGTCTCAGGGAGTTTTTCTGTTAAGGAATATATCCTGATGTCAGTACGCTTTCCAAATATAAAAAATACTGCAGATTTGCAAAAACTGAAGATGCAAAAGAAAACCTTCACTCAGAAACTGCAACCAACCTGAAGCTCAACCTCGAGTCTTGTTCTGCACAGAGCATGAAGTCAACTTTGAACTTTGATCTTCAGGCTTCACATGCGTTTGAATGTCACATAGTTAGTTTTTTAAAAATATGCTGGGATACTTAAAAATGCCATTATTTGCTTGTGAACTTTATCACAGCTGTTTCAAAACACTTTTATGAAAAATACAAAAAGGGTTTACGCTATTTTAAACTGAGCTTTTTGCATTTATGTCCACGTTTTACACACACGGCTGCATGACAAGTGTATTATATAGTGATTGGGGAAAAGGAAAAATGTAGTATTTATTGATGTAGACGCTCAGTCTTTTTTTCTTTTTCTTACTACTTTCCAGGCTGGTCAGGTTTTGGATACACTTGTGTATTTTATTCTTTCTTTATTTCTATTTTTTAACACAATGAAACATTAACAGTTCTTGTTTGCAAAGTCATCATGGAAAGAGACGACCACCACTGGACGACTTCTTCAGTAAAACTAACAAACGTGACGATTAGCAGGAACAATCTGAAGCTGAAGCATTTTCATGGACTCTAATCTAAAGATATTGATCAGGATGAATGTGACAGATGTGATCATGTCTGACTCTAAGCTGCTTCAATCTGATGTCATCAGGAACAAAATGAGGTTTCACAGATACGACAGCAGCAGCAGCACATTTCCCGTCACTCACTTGAGGAGCGCTGCTTCCTCCTCACGCTGCCTTTTGGCCTCCTCCTCCTGAAGCTTCCTCTCCTGCTCCTCCTGCTGCCTCTTCTCCTCCTCCTCCTTCTTCTTCTGCTCCTCCTCCGCCTTCTGCTTCTCCTCCTCCTTCTTCCTCCGCTCCTTCTCCTCCTTCTTCTTCTTCTCCTCCTCGAGGCGCTTCCTCTTCTCCTCCTTGCCGCCGTCTTTCTTGCCGCTCATCTTGGCCTCGTCCTTGGGTTTGTCTCGAGCAGACGCTGGTCTCCTCTCGGCCTCCCTCTCCTTTTCTTTCTCCTTGCTGCTGAAGGCGAAAACGTCTTTTTCATCCATGTTTACTGAGCGCTTGCGTTCAGCAGGCATACTGAGGAAAGACAACAAGGAAACACTGCATAAGCACACGTACTGAAGGTTTTTCTTGTTGCCTTAAAGACTCTTCCAACCATTTATGAGAAACTTTCACCTCCTTGTATGAATAAAAACAATTTCTTCATCAGTCTCGTTGTGGAATTTTTATAAAATGATTTTCAAACAAAACTATTTTCTGACTTTTTGTAGCTCTGAAGATTATTTCAGAAACTAGATGAACACTCAATAAGACAATGTCAGCTGGAGCCTTAATCTACTGATTAATTTCTACATAAATATGATGATAAAACCTACAATGAAGTGTTCAAATGTCTTGTTGTGTCTCACCCACAGTCCAAATTTTTACAAAAATCAATGTACTACAATGTGAGACGCAAAAAAGCAGAAATTTCTCACATTTGGAAAACTTAAACCATCCATTATTTACACATATTTCTTGGAAAATGAAGACTTATCAAATATTAAACCAGATATCAATTGATTTTCTGCTCACTGGCAAATATCTGCAGCTCTATTTTCTATGTTTGTTTTCTTTCTCAAGCACTTTCAAATGTCCAGTTGCTTTAGGTGCTCAAGAATAAACTCTGAAACTGTTTCGAGGTCAAAAATTTGTTGTTGGACCTCAGCTGACCCCTAACTATGTATATATACATGGCAGTTTGATTATTTCTCCAGGCGTGAAACCAAACAGTTCTCTGAAGCTGAAATTATCAAAGTGTTGTTACTGCAAAAAAGCAGGAGAGGAACTCTGGTAGAAAACTGTTCACCGTGTCAGTTGATATATTTATTTATTCTCTCATTCACTGAGTCTCAATCCAGCTGTTGATTCCTAATGTGACAGCTGTACTAAAGCTCTGAAACTGTAAACTTCTCATTTTTAACCATGATGCTCAACATTTAGGTCTGATACTGTCCCATAATGACGGAGACGTGGAAATCACTTACGTTTTTGGCCAAATCAGGGTGGAATTGATTTAATATTCTCTGATAAATACCGATAGCCTAATGCTGCAGTACCAGCAGTCTGAATCAGACTCGACAGCAAATCAGGACCAAGCTGAAGAACGTATTTGTTAGTTTTTTTCCCGCATCACCAACTAAATGCATGTAGGTTTCCCTGGCAACACAACGCGTACAGTTTGTTCAGTAGGATTACTGATGCACAGCTCAACAGGTCTGCAGATACAATACTATCACTCAGCTGAAAATCTGTACGACACAGAAAGAACATGAAAAGAATAAGTGAAAAGAAGTCGCTTATCACAGTCGACTTAAATCCTAAACTGGAGCGGGTTAGCTGAGCTGACAAGTCGTCTTTCGGTTTAACACACATGAATCTAACTTTATAGGCCACCAGTCTGGTCCCACTGACCTGTCCAGGGTTTATGTTCTCTGTTGGCCTGGATAACTTTTCTTCCTTTCCTGGTTCTGCCAGTGATTTGCTTAACTTTTAAAATTAGTTTAATACATTATATGACATTGTAGGTTTGTAAGATTAAAACTGAAGCTAATCTGGTTAATTTATATTATATATATTATATAATACATTGTAGAATCTTAACCTTAACATTCAAACTTTGCAGTTATTTTTGGCTCAACGGCTGTTGTTTTAAATGTACTACAAAAATAACGGTGATTTGACTTAAAGTAAACTGCCTCAGCACAGTCCTTTTAATCACAAAGGACGAATAATAAAGGCCCATGCCTGATAATGTACCTCAGAAGCACAAATGTCATACAAATTTGCTATTAATGGAATTATACAGGCACATATTACATGTAAACAGGCTTTAGGGCAGTGACAAGAAGCGTAAAAATTAACATGACTCGACGAATTAATTGCATTGGGTCACATACATGCTTGAAGCTAAAAACTACAGTAAAATCAACCATTTCTGAGTCTCTAATCATAAATTCTGCCGAGAGATGAGATGAGTCTGACACACACCCACGCAGCAGCAGCAGCCGCTCCGCTGCAGACGCCGCTCGTTAGCCACCTAGCCTAGCTGTCATGTTTAGCGCGGACACCACAGCTGTCTTTTCTGTGAACGATACCGCTGACAAACTACCTTAATATCAGCCTTCAAGAAAAACAGCCCGTTTGAAAATGTAGAAAAGACGCTGCGACGTTTCGACGTGTCAACAAACCCGCCAGAAAAACAAAATTAGCGTTAGCATAGCTAGCGCCGTTAGCTAGGCCACTTGAATGAACGCGCGATGTAAACAAACGTTTTGACAGCGACGAACCGACAGTTAGTGAGCATTAAATCATTACCGTGTGACTAAACAGTCATAGACAACACAACACAATGCTCAGAGAAGCCAGTTTCGTGTGAATGTTGCAGTAAATTAAAAAGGTTTACCTGCTAACTGTAGCAAAACAAACATCGGTCGTTAGCGTTGGTTTCCGTGTGAACCGCTGCAGGACCCCTGTCATGTGGGGTCCGCAAGTTACGCCTGACTAAAAATACAACTACATTTAATTTAATTTTCTTTCATATAGGGACGTTTTTGCACAATTATCTGGATATGAGAGTATATTTTCTGAACAACATTACTTCTGCAATGTATTTTAGTTTTCCTGAGAAGAATTAAAAGGAAACAGTCATCTTGTTCAACACCAAAAAAATATTACAAAACTTTTTTCTGTGACTCTAAATGTGCTGATAAACTATTGTAGACTATTTTCTACAACTACAGTTTTAATTATCACTGGTGCTGGATTATTTTGCTTCACTAATTCCTTCATATTCATATTGTAAATACTGTAAATACTGCTATTTATTGCTCTTACTCTTATTTTATTGTTCTAGTTTCTTTTATTTCTTATACAGAGAGCCAAGATTCACAGGAGTCACATTCTTTGTTTGCATGTACAAACCTGGTCAATAAAGTGGACTCTGAATAAAATTATTCCTCAAATTATGCAGACACATTTCATATACAAACCCAGCTTTTAACTCAGGTAAATTAAACAGGAGGCACATGAAGCCAACATATATCTCAGTGGTCAAATGATGTGAGAGGAACACTGTTTTTTTTTGTCCTCTCCTTTTTACAGTGTACGCTGATCTGACAGTTAAAACTAAAGCAGGCCTGCAGAGGAGGCAGAACTGATTATTTCTGTTTTACAGCAGCCTTTTCCTCCCAGGAGGCTGCAGGTATTTTCTCCCAACACTCGTTCATTCATGAGCCGGTTCCTCCAACACTGCAGCTCTGTGTTGAGATGCAGGGGTGCCGTTGTAGTTTGTTGACTCAAGGTGAATGAGACACTTAGATGGAAAAGTGAGACAGGAGAGCTGTTCACGGGGAAGCTGCGTTTTCAGCGCGGTTATAATCAAGCAGGTTCCAGTTTAAGCCAAGTGAAGACAGCTGATGATGCTGAACATGGAGAGTCTGCATCAGTGGGAAGGGTTGAAGTTTAAGGTCAAGAGGGGAGCATGAAACCCTGTCTTTGTAAAACTTTTAATAGATGAAAATACCATGAAAGCTTCCAAATGTATTACTTACACTAAGACAATTATTGTTCTATTGAAAGTTGTTGGACATTTTCTGTTGTAAACATGCAAATTATACATTATTTAATTAAACATTAACTAAGTTTTATTCATTTACTGAACATTTAACGAAGCCAGGCACAAAATCACAAACACAAGCACTTGGGTGTGTAAGATCGGAGTTTTTATTTCAGCAGCTACACGACCAGCTGTACATTTTCTGGATATTAATACACAACAGATGGTTGATCGCCACGTTTCACTGATTTCTGACGGAGCTTCTCCTCCTTCATCTTCACCAAGACGATGGATTCTGGAGGTACAACGACGTGCATCTGAAATGTTGTCTCCCGAAACAAAAACACACAAAATAATGTAAAAAAAAAAAACAACAACTGTAAACCCCAACTAGGAAACCCACCAGATTCTGTTAAAAACATACAAATTAAAGAGGGAAAAAAATAAATTACAAAAAAGAAACTAATGCAGCAGATCGGAAACCCTCAGCTCAAAACGAGAAGAAACGACCCGATCACTGACGATGAACAGCTGTGGATTAATCCGATTTGTCAAAAAGCTGTTCAAACTGTCGTGTCATTCATGTTGAGTTCAACTTTACGAAGCTCAAAACGCGAACAAACCGTCCCACAAAGTAAGAAATCCACAATAACTGTGAAAAGACGGAGGTCAGTGATGCAAATACAACTTTTAAATGAACTTTGGAGCTTTTTTTCCCATCCTAATAACTCTTTAATGAATAAAAAAAAACATCCTGAAAAGAAAAGAAACGTAAAAATGAAGAAAAAACCCGCCCCGTGTACCGTCCACCCATCACACCATGTGTAAGTTATCGGCTTTTTATTGGAGATATTTGTCATAATGCTCATAACGGAAAATACTGGCGGACTGGAAGGTTGAAATCATTGATTGGAGCAGCTTCGTAATACTTTGACTGTGGTTGTAAAGGCCGATTCATGCTTTCTGTGTCCTGTGACGCAGTTTTCACCTAAAATTTGTGACAGAAAAACAATGTGGAGCTCAAAATAGATGCTTGTTTAGAGGAAAGGCTGCTTGAAGAGCTTCTCCGTCACCCACGTCTTCATAAATCATCATTGGAGGAGCTGTAATTCAAGTAGTTGCAGCTGAAATCTCCAGATATCCTGGGCTAAATCCGCCCATTCTGCTTGGCACAACTCAGGATTCGGTGTCACAGCGCTCCGGTTTAATCTGCAACCAGCTGCTACGTCCTGTAAAAAGCTGCAGCCTTTCTGGGTTTTCTGCGTTCGATACGTGGGGAGATGTTATTCCACCGTAGCACGAAAACAACCCGGTCGTTATCTGCTGTCCGTGTTCGAAGTCGGCCTCGGTCAGCGCACAGGGATGCAGAACCCATGAACTGGCCTTGAATCAGCGTTGAGGTATGTAAACAGGCAGCTTCAGCGCCTCCCTTTTCCTCTGACAGTCCACTGGATGCTCAGCAGTTACTGACAACGATAAGCAACTCTCTGCAACTTGCTGAGAGTTTTTTGGTACAAACATCCCTCTAATTTCACTTTAAAGCAAAATGTTCTCATTCACTGACTGACTGCTTGTAGATGGGACGTGATCGGAGGAGATTTTTGTTCATTAACAGCAGGAACACAAACAATCTGTAAATTTACCATCGATTTCTTTTGCTGTGGACGTTTTTCCAGATCTACGAGTATCAAAAAGCAGAAATGCACTGAAGAAACACTTCTCATGATTATAGTATTGACGTTATTATGATTTGTTTGTTGTCAAAGCAGCAGATGAAGGTTTGTCCTTTAACCCTGTGACATAAACCCGGAGCTGCTCGTCCATCAGGGCGTCACAAACAGCAGCAGGGAGTTCTGGGATGAAGCTCGAATCCTAAATCCGTCTGTGCAAAGGCTGAAGTAAGTTGTATTCTTTTACCTCTTTCTAATGAAACGTCTCGTTGTTGTGGCTTTTGTTTTGTTTTAAGTCGACACTGCTTCTGTGTAAAGGTCTGAGAGTCCAGCTGCCGGCTTCCCTTAAGACTTTAACGTCGGCGTTGTTGAAGGATCGTGGGCGCCGAGAGCAGACGATGTGTCGCCACGGCAACCACGATGAAAATTTTTTCCTCTTCTAAAAAAATACTCATATTAAACTTTTAAAAAATATATATAAAGGAGTCTTTGCGCCCGGCGGTGGGAGTCCATCAGCTGACTGACGGCGAACCGGCCTACGGTCTCTGAGCCAGTCGACTTTTCCCTTCCTCCTGCTCGACCAGCTTGAAGTGAGTGTAGGACAAGATGCCTGCCAGAGTGCAGAGGATCCCCAACGCCTGAACGAGACACCAGGAGGCAGAAGATGAGGTTTAGAGAGAAAAATAATAACGGTGCTGAAGTCAGAAGGAGGCTGGGCTCAGCGAGACTCACCTGGTTGAGGGACAGCGGGTCATGGAAGAGCAGGTACCCTCCGACCAGAGTGATGCAGAATTTAAAATGACCAAACATGTTGTAGCTGCGAGCTGGAGTCAGGAGAACAACGACACGCATGAACCTCATCTACAGTAATTAAATCAGAGGACCTCACAAAAATAAATCATTAAAAGGGTATCAGTGAAAGGAAACCACCTCAAAAAAGACCAGAACACCTTTAACTCTCTTATAAACCTCCTCCAGATGTTTAATTAGCTTACAGAAGCTCATAGATCTCCAGACAAACCCTCAAGAAGCTTCAGCAAAACAACAAACAAAAAATCTCAAGACCAGAAACTTTCTACTAAACGTTCTGAGCTACAAAACTCAAGAAAGCTCTCCACAAACATCTCTAAATCTTCTGATGGAAACAAAAGGTCGACAAAGAACACTCAAACTCTTCTCAGGAAGTTCTACAATCCTTTCAGCAAGACTGGAAAACTCCACAAAGGCTCCAGACTTCACCAAAAAAAAAACCTCAAGAAGACCAGAAACGTTCTGAAAAAGCTCTGAAGACTTTCAATAAGTCTAGAAAGCTCGACACTGAAACCTCAAAAGAACACTAAAAATCTTCTCAGGAAGTTCTGAAACCATTTTGGGAATCAAAAAAGTTCCAGAAAATCTTCTGCAATCTTCTCTAGAAATAATGAAACCATTTCAAAGATTCTAGAAAGTTTTAAAAAGCAGAAAGAAACATCAAGGAGATTGGAAACCTCCTCAAGAAGTTCTGCAACCTGCTCAGTATAAATAAAAAGAGCTTAAAAAGTCCTAAAAGCTACACAGAGAAACCAAAACAACTCCTCAAGAAGACGGAATTCCTAAGAAGTTCTAAAACCCTGTGAATAGGACGAGAAGGTCTCCACGTGGTCCTCCACCATTAAACTAAAAACCATCTGAAGGAGACCAGAAAGTCCCACAAGAACCCACAAGAACCCTTAAAACCTCTTCAAGAACATATCTCATCTTCCCAACAGGAACCCAAAACACCCTTCAGACCACCGGGAGCCTCTTTGGGCCTCCTTGTGCATTTGAGGATACGTGACAGCCGAGGTGTTCCCGATGATCCAGTAGATGGACAGGTTGACCAGGAACGCCACCACACCTGAGAACAGCACCGTCACCTGCAGGGCAAACACAGGACACGGGGGTTGTTTTAAAGGTCAAACTTGTAACGTGAGTCTCGTGCATACAGCAGACGAGCGGCTGATGATTTGTTCTTGACGTCATGTGACAGCGTTGCCATGACGCCACAGCAGGAAGTGATCTTGTACAAACTCAAAATGCCTCGTGTGTGTGTGTCGTTTACTGCTGCATGTGTCGATCAAACCAAGAGGAACTTTCATTATGGACCAAAGGCCTGAGCTCATAAAAGGAGGAAAATGTAAGAAACTGAGCAAAAACCACCAGAAGAACATCACGTGATCCTTCGTCTTTGGTCTGGAGTCGGTTAAAGCAGCGACCAGTTTGTTAGAGGAACTTATGTTTGTGTAGCTGACGGGTTCCTCACTTTGTGTTGTTCAGGTTGTTCTGCAGCGTCGGTGCTACAAGAACTTAATTACACTTCTGAATGTTTTCTGGAGAAGAAGGAAGTATGAAGATGAAGTTACATCTACGGCCTCCAGAGCAGAGAAGTCTCTTCGTTACACAGAAATCATGTCCAACGTTTTCTGTTTTCTGCTGTGATATCAACTAAAACAATCTTCCTGCTACAAGAATAACAAACAAGTTAAAGACCGACCGCATGTTGGTCGTCTCTTCAATACGTGACGTGTTGATCCTTAGAAAACTAAACATTAAACTGGTTGACTAGAAAAGCTCAGTTCAGTAACTCACTCGTCTGAAACTATCAGGAAGGATTTTACAATTAAAAGCAGGAACCCAAACCCAACACAATAACCACAAGTTAAACCACAAATTAAATCCCACTGTGTGTGTGTGTGTGTGTGTCGTGTGTTCTGTAGACGTGTGACGTAGATTCTGACCAGCGCCGGCAGAGACCAGGGTCCAAATATTCCTCCGTCTCCGGTCAGCGGCTCGAACAGAGGAATGATGCCGAGCAGGAAGGCTGAAGACAGAGGAGCCTGACGGGACAGATGTTAACGTGTTAATACGGCAGCAGAGCATCACGGTCACATAACGAGCTGCTGTCACTGTGGTAATAATTAGAGAAGTCTCGAGATGATCTACGTCTGACTCGTGTAACAGCCGGTGGATCCTCGTTTGTTTGGGAAAGTTGCAGAATTTCATTTATTTCAACAAACCTGTCGAACCCTAAGAGTCCTAAACAGACAGTGAAGCTGAGAAACGTCTGATTTTTTTACACTAGATATCTGAATTTAGGTAATAATCTGAATTCAGATGTCCAGGAACTTGACACAGAAGCAAACTTTGACTTTCTAATTCTGCAGCGTTCACTCCAAAACAACAACAAATAACAGTTAGTGGATGAAACTCCAGTTGTTTTAGTAAATAAATGAGAAACAGAACAACAGATTGTTTGTGTTATTAGCCGGTGTGGTGAATGTTTTCACTGTTGATGTGAGGACCGGACAGAAAAAAAAACCCTTTGGTCGCTATGAATTTAACCGGTCAGCATTGAGCCCGGTGTGATTTGACCAACAAAAACGGCCCAGAAAGAGGTTCTTAGGGGCGGCTCTTGTGGTTACACAAAGGTTCAGGCCGACCTGAAATGACCCACAAGTTCAACAGAACAGTTTCACACACGCCCTGCTTTATCTGGAACCGCCTCCTCAGCCGTGCTCCAGGTGGTGTGAAGGAGGGACGAGCCAGTCGAAAGCTGAACACCGAGTCCTCATTCAAGGCCACGGAGCAACAAGTCTGGTTCTGATACTCGTGTGAGTCTAATCAGGTCGAGTCTTACATTAATGAATAACATCTAAAAAAGGATTTGAGGTTTTTTAATTTATACATAAAACAAACGAACTGTGAGGGTTTGATGGATAAAGGTTTCAGCAGAGCGCTGACTCGAGGATAACGAGTGTTGTTGTCCAGCAGGACCACGGAGATAAAAGCCTGAATGGACTCTATCAGCAGATAATGAGCATTAATGACCTTTGACTGCTGCACTATCAGTCCTGAATCAAGCCACTGCTGTAGGTGTGTTTGTACCTGATAGTAGAGCAGCTGCATGGAGTTCACCTGGAGCTCGTGCTGTTTGGCTCCGACCCACTGACAGAAACACACAGTTACTGGTTTATTCCTGCTGGTTTGACTTGGTGCTTGTCAGCGTGCAGGTTGACTCACCACTTGGTAAAGCGACGTGACCAGAACGCCGAGCGTCGCAAACACCGTCCCCAACACGTTGAACCGGACGTCGTAGTACGAGTTCAGTATCACGCCCAACGTGATGGGAACCTGCAGAAGGACAAAACAACGACGACAGAAAAAAAACAACCAGAACTATTATTCAACATCACATTAGTCAGGGAAAAGTCTTTATTACAGTCATGCAAGTCTGGTCATTTCTCAGAGTATATATATATAAATATTTATAATTAAAACAGTCAGGTAATTTCTTTTAATACGCTACAATTATTCAGGTAAATTATTATTTTATAAATTTAAATGAGTCCGGTACATTTTTTAAATTATATATTTAAATTAGGTGAATTTTAAAAATATATTTTAGTTAATCAGGTATATTTTTATTTTACATTTTCATAAATTGATCAGGTAAAAATTTATTTCATGCATTTAAAATAGTTGAAAAAAATATTTTATGTGTTCAAAATTAGTCTGGATTTATTTATTTATTTATTTATTTTTATATACGTTAAAATTATCCAGGTCAAGTTCATTTTATATATTTAAATAAGTCAGATAAATTACTATAAGATTGCTTAATTTGTCGGTTACATTTTATTTTAGGTCTTTTAATTAGTCAGATAAATTACCATAATATAGATAAATTAGTCAGGGTTTTTTTTCTTATATTTTAATTAGTCAGGTCAGTTTTCATTTATTATATTTAAATTAGTCAGGTAAATTACTATAATATAGCTAAATTAGTGTGGCACATTTTATTTTACATATTTTAATTAGTCATGTAAATTTCAATAACATAACTAAGTCAGGTAGAATTTGTATTTAATAAATTTGAAATAATCAGGTAACATTTTATAATATATTTTAAACAGTTAAGTAAATATGTATAGTATATACAATTTGTTAGGTTAATAAAAATAAATCAGTCTGATAAATTTCTATTATATGTCTTACGTCTGGTCTTAATCTGTAACTTGGTAAAGTTTGTGTAAAATATTTAAATCAATCAGTTAAATGATCAAATCACATTTAAATAAGTTTTGTGTTTTTTTCTGAGCTTTATTTAAATCAATCAGGTTAATTTAATTAATTTGCAACGTTAATCTCAGTTTTTATAGTAAAATATTTTGGCTTAATTTATGTTTTAAATGTGCTCGATAAAGAACGGTGACTCGACAGAACTCTGTCATGACTCTGCAGATTTGGGTTCCTCTGAGTTCAGTTCCTGTAAGGAGGACGCTTGTTTCCTCACCAGCGTCAGCTTGATCTTGGTGGAGAAGGTCTTCTTGTAGTAGGTGGTCTGGATGAGGATGATGACCGGCGTGGTCATGGCTTTGGCCAGCTGGTACGTTCCTATCGAGTTGTTCTGCAGCGACAGGTTGGTGAAGGCCACGAAGCCGCAGAAGCTCAGGGCCAGCCACACGATCCTGCGGATCTGGAGGCTTTTTGGGGAGAAAATGTTCATCCTCTGGCAGATGTAGAGCCCCAGCCAGGTGACCACGAAGTGAACCAGGGTCAGCGTCATGTTGGGGAAGCCGTAGTGCACGTAGATCCATTTGTTGATGAAGACGATGCAGATGGAGGACAGCAGGTTGACCAGCAGGCCGGCGATGATGCGCCTGTTGGCTGAAAACAGCCCCTCAGCCATGTTTCTAGAAGGCTACTTACTCCAGATGAGCTCTGTTCGACTTAACCGAGTTGATCACGCTGCAAAAAACAGAGAAGTGGGCGTTAGACGGTCTGAACCTTCAGCCACGTCCAGAGCCTCGCTTTGACAAATGTTTTCAGAAGGTTCCACCCAGCGATTAGATAAGATGTGGGTTCATTGAGATTTAAATCGACACAGAAGCTCCAGGAAACGCATCAGCTTTAAAGACAGAAGCTTCCAAAAATTGTAAAAACACAACATACACAGAAGTCAGTTAGAAAACGAGCCTCTCACTTCTATCATAGCTGCTTGATATTCACCCAGCAGCAGCAGCTCTGCTTCCTCCAGTGGTCTGGAGTCTCCATCATCTCCAGAAATACAGGGGTGTGGTGGTGGTACGATTACATGCAGCTTGTCAAGGGACCAGATCATGTTTTTAAACCCTCTGTGCATAACTGTGTTCGTTGGCATCCTTTCCTTCCTGTCCCTCCTTCATTTAGCCGTTCCCAAGTGGAGTCGGCACGTCAGCCGACTCTGCGTCCTTTAATTATTTTGAAAAATAGAGTCTCGCCAAGAACCCTTAAATCATACTAAATTACATAAGACAGGCTTCTCTTGTCCATTAGTCATGGAAAAGGTGGATCATGCAAGTCGTTTTGGTTTTTTTGTTTTTTGTATCAAGCAGCAAAGATTTTTTTAGCAGGACAAACGTTGGACTTGTCTGCAGGGAAATCTCCCAAAAGCGTAAAAAAAAGAGGAAAATAAACTTCAGTAAAATGAGCGACACTAACATGTAAAGATAGTTTAACTGTACAAGTTAACATCTTGCATTTGAAATAAGTGCAAAAGAATTTTCTACAAAAATGTACTTAAAGTAGCTGAAGCCAATGCAGCAGAATTACATATTTCAGTGTTACATCGTTAAATTAAAATATTCTACATTATGTTTTATTATGTATTACTGTGCATATATTATGTTTAGCAGGGGGAGGAGATATTAACTACATATATGCTGTTTGACAAGAGTGTAAAGTACAGTTAGGAGGTATTTTATGTCTTTTTATTGTTGCCGATTTGCAAATTCAGCTTAAATAAAAACTTATGGTCAGTTTAAGATGAATTGCTATAATTTCATACCAAGCTTTAACATAAAAACCCAACTTACATTACAGAACATTATAAGCAATAAAATCGTACATGAACAATCTAAAAAAAATGAGAATTTTCATTTTTGCTAGCTTAACAAGTTTTCATGCTAGGCTACTTAGCACATACTTGAGTAGCGTAGCATAAAATACTCATAAAGTAACTCAAGTTAGTATTCAAAAAGTATTTAAGTAAATGTAAGTGCTACTTTCTTTTCTTTACTAATTTCAATAATCTGTTTAATGCTAATACAGACAGCTAGGTATGAGAACATTTCGCTATGCTAGGCTACTTAGCTAACACTTAAGTAGCTTAGCAAAAAACAAAAACATGACAGTACCTCAAATAAAAATTTTAATACAGCACTTAAGTAAATATAAGGACTAATTTCTTTCCATTACTGGTTTTAGTAAACTTTTAAATAGTTCTGTTAGTACAAACTGCTAGCTAAGAGAACATTATTTGTAGCGGTTAGCTGTAAAATCTCGTCTTTTTTGAACGGGTTTTGGTGCTAGTCTACTTAGCTTAAGTAGCTTAGCCAAAAATACGTAACAAAATACCACAAGTTATAACCTAAACACATTATTTGTAAATATAAGTTTCTATTACTGGTCTTAAATAATCTTTTGAAAAGTTTTGTCAGCACAGGCTGCTAGTTTAGAAAACACGGTTATGGTTTGTAAGGGATAACTGTAAAATATCGTGTTTTTTCAATGGAGTTTGGTGTAACTGAAGTATCTGCCAGTTAAAGCCTCTACAAGTACCTGCTGCTTTTTTATTTATTTATTTAATAATCTGTGAAATAATTCTGCAAACAGCTAGAACATTTTTAATTATTGATTTATTTTTTTTTAACAGTTTGTAAGGGTTAACTGTAAAATAACGTGTTTTTTGAATGGACTTTGGTGAAGCCAGTGAAAGCCACAGTTCAGACTCCAGTTTAAATCATGTGTTGCTGTTTGTTTAAAAGTATTACAGCGTTAATAAAGTGTAAACTCGGTTATTTTAACCCAGCCGGGACTGCCTGGCTGTCCGTCTGTCCGCCTGTCTGTCTGTCTTTCTGCCACGCACTAAGAAAAGTTTACCTGGGGTCTCCATCTTTCCGTCTCGCCCGCTACTCCGCCCGGACAAACAGCCCTCAGCTACCGGCCTGTCAGCGCACCTTCCCCGCGGCGTTCGAGCTCCAGCCCCGGCCTGCGCTATGAGGAATCCCCGCTGCTGCACCGGAGGAATTTCCTCCGCGGTTTTGCTGCCGAATACAGCCGTGATTTGTGGCTCCAAACCGCCCTGCGTGTTCCTGTTTCCTCCGTGTCCAACGCCGTTTAACGGGAGCGTTCGGAGCAACAGCGGCTGCTAACGGACCGGAGGGCGGAGGGAGCACAGATAGGGCGGACCCAGGAGGAGAGGGCTCACTCTGATCAGGAAAGCGGCGCTGATAGATGAGCGAAGGGAGCAGAGATAGGCTGAATATGAGGAGGTCTCACTCCGCTCAGGAAAACGATGAGAGCTCAAATCCACGCAGGAGGAAAATTATATGACTGAATAAACATTTCTATTTTTTATGTGATATATTTAAATAAGTAAATGTCAAGCCACCGTCATTCATACACCACATTTATAACCATAAACTTAGAGCTAAAGTGCTTCCAGTAAAGAAATAAAACCACAAATGTGTGTTTTAAATATTACAGTAGTTTATAACTTGATCCACGTTGATTAGATATGACTGCTAATACTTTAAAATATCATATAAAATAAATAAATAAAAACTCATGTAAATACTTCACTAGTTTGAATATTAAGATTAAGACCCTGCATAATATATTGTGTGGCACAAATGTACCTGACTAATTTCATTTAATCATGGACATTTAACTGACTAATTTAAATAAATTACACGCATTTACCTGACTAATTTAGATATTATGGTTAAGATCTACATATTTTTGATGATACAAATTTACCAGATAAAATTAACCAAATTTACAAACAACGAGCAAATGTTTTT